TCAGGCAAACCACTCACCTCAGCCTCCCAAAGGCGCGGGATTACAGGCTGAGCCATCGAGGCCGCCTTAACTATACTTTTCAAAGGAGAAAGTAAAAATTCAAAGAGGGAAAATGTCCTGTTGCAGTCACAAGGGGGGCCCCTAAGTTAGGCAGATTCAGGACTCAGGTTTGCATATAATGCTGCCTCCCCTGCCCCCGCCACCCCCCTCTCCCCCAACTCCCAGGATAAACTGAGTACAGAAGGCTGTCCAAGGGAGAGAAGGCCAAGGGAGCTTCATGTCTGTCCTCTCACATTCTGCTAGCATGTCATTTCTGTCGATTTGATGAGGTTTGAATGTTTACTTATTAATAAATACAATTTATTTTTAAAGTGATCTCTGTCATAAAAAGAGTTTGGAAACCCCAAGTTTGGGGACTACCTTATTTTCTAAGCGTGTTTATAATGTTTTTCATTTCTTAGAAACCCAGAAATTGGTGACAGCAGCACTCAGAAGGGCTGGTGGTTTCCAAGCTGGTTTAACAATGGGTAAGATGGTCAGATGGCTTTTGCTTATCCATCCCCCTAATACTTGTAGAGAGGCCACAGAAAGTGGTTTCATGCTCATGACGTTTGTGGCTACTCATCTCTCTTGCCTATTGAAATCATATGAGAAGTCTATTTTGTTAGAATATTTTTGCTTTGTTTTTGAGTCCCGGTATCACTGTGTCACCCAGGCTAGAGAGCAGTAGCATGATCACAGCTCATCGCAGCCTTGACCTGTTGGGCTCAAACAATCCTTCCACCTCAGCCTCCTGGGTAGCTGGGACTACAGGTGCACGCTACCACATCCAGCTAATTACGTTTTTATAGAGATTAGGTCTTGCTGTGTTGCCCAGGGTGGTCTCCAACTCCTGGGCTCAAGCAATCCTCCTGCCTTGGCCTCTCAACGTGCTGGGATTACAGGTGTGAGCCACTGCACCCAGCTGTTTTGTTGTTGTTTCTAGTTAACTTGGGAGGTAAAGCTTGGGCTGAAGTTGGGATGTTAGGAAAGACAATCATAAACTAACATGGTCTTAGGAGGACTGTTTTGTCAAGCTTCCCCCTGAAACAGCCTGAGTGCCATTGGGCCATTAAGTTGTTAACTGTGCTGACGGGGAAGGGTAATAAGGTGAGGACTATACTTTTCACCAAGAGGATGTGTTGATGAATAAGCATTTAATGTCCCAAGCCTTTCCCCAGCCAGTTCACTTGGTGCACACATTGTCTGTCTTGGAATGGGCATGTTTCCTTGAGATGTTCACCAGCTGTTTCCTCTCCATGGACCACTCTCCTTGCCTTACCTGGCTTGCTCTCCCTTGTACTTAGGACCCACACTTATCAAGAAGAAGATGACATGGCCAAGGAAAAAGGAAGAAAAAAGGGACAGAGAAAGGAAGATAAAGAAGAGCTTCAGCTATGGGAGTGGTTTAATCCAGAGTAAGAAAAGAAGTGTGCCTTCCTGTGCGGTAAATCCATAGCTTAGAAAGTGATGGGGGCAGTGGCGGCCCCTGACCTGGGAGAAAGAGTCTTAGCGTATTAGATCTTTAACAGCAGACTTTGGATGAGAAACTGAGATCTGGATATTTTGAACCTAATGGATTGATCAATGCAGTGTTTCTGATGGCAATTGGCCAATGGTAGCAGATGAAACACAGATATTGGAGCTGGAAGGGCCACAGGGCATTGTGTCATACCACAGGATCTGGAGTCAGAGCAAGAAAATGCCCTCTGAGATTCAGCTAACTCATCCATAAAATGGGAATGATGATAAACCAGTCTCAGGCGGGCATGAGTTCATTCACTAAACAACATGAAACAAATGTTCATCAGAACTTAGGATGTGCTAGCTGGTGGTTTTCAAACAGCCGTTACTACCCATTCATGTGTTCAGAAACTAGCTTCATGGGTGAAAACCAGCTTTAAAAAAATTAAAATACTAGAATATTAAAGGGCATCACACAAAGTAAGGATAAATGAAATTTTTATTTCATGCATGTGTGTATGTGCGCATATATATATATATATATTTTTTTTTTTTTTTTTTTTTTT